CAAGCAAGTAGTTTGTTTAGAATATGAATCTTATGATGAAATGGCATATAAAGAACTGGATAGGCTATGCACTGAACTGCGGAAGTATTATCCGGAAATTGACCGAATCGCAATCTTCCATAGAGTCGGGTACGCCGTTTTTTGTTACTACACTTTGATTAGGCAGGGCCTGGCATTTTTTCAGTAGATTTGGTAATTTTTTTTTTGGTTTTTGGTAATTTTTGTTTTTGGTAATCTTTTTTTTTTGGTATAATTTTTTTTTTGGTAATTGTATAATTTTTTTTTTTGTAATTTTTGGTGTAATTTGGTAATTGCGTTAGTCCTGCTCGCGAAGAATTTCTGGTTTTTTTGGGTTGCGTTTTTGACAGATTTCACCGTAGACCTTTCGAGTTTCCTAGGTCTGTTCTACGCCATAATAATACACTTTAATTAATTTTTGTTTCTGATAGATTTTGGCTTACAGTATTGTTGCTTGCGAAGAATTCCTGGTTTTTTTGGGTCGTGTTTTTGACAGATTTCACCTTAGACCTTTCGAGTTTCCTAGGTCTGTTCTATGCCATAATAATACACTTTAATTAGTTTGTGTTTCCGATAGATTTTGGCTTACTGTAGTCTTGCTCGCGAAGAATTTCTGGTTTTTTAGGTCGCTTTTTCAACAGACTTGCCCTTAGATCTTATGGGTTCCTTGGGGTGATGGCCGTGTTTGTTCTGTATAATGTTTCTATTGCACCATTGATAGTTTCAGTTCAGTTCCTGTTGCTGAAACATCAGTAATTGTAGCCGTAAGTGCACCGCATCGACATAGCGCTATTCGAGCAACTGAACAAGCCATTGATTACTTGAAAAAAAGAGTACCATTGTGGAAAAAGGTGGACTTTTTTTTGTTTAAAAGTTATGTTTTTCTGTTCAGAATTTGCAATTTAGCTTATTTCACATTAAAAAAAATAAAAAAAAAAGTATAAAAAAATATTAAACTCGAATCTTCCCATTTCTTTCTATCTATTTATATATCAGAAGCCTTCTCAAAGAAGCAAAAACTTCGAGAAGTAGCACGAGTGGTAGCAGTTGCCAACAGCAGTTTCCCCTTGGCAAGGCTGTTGAAAGTTGCTTAGAAGCAAGCTAGTGGCAAGTTTGACTTCCTCAATACCAATTTGCCGTCGTAACGAGAAAAAAGGATTTGTTTTTTTAGCCTTTTGTTGTAGTTTTTGAAGTTTAGTAACTTGCAGCTATCATGGGATTGCAGTGGCTAAGGCCCGTACTGCCCTTCCTATTTTCTGTGCTGGTACTGTTTTTAAGTTGAGTTTTCTAAACCTCAACGTTAAGTTCTCTGGATGTCGGAATCTGTTAGACTCTGGATATATAGTTCAAGACTGCTTCGGGCGAAAGTTTTCAAACATATTTACTAATTTGGGGATAATTTCTGACACGTATTGGCTTCTATGAACTATCCTGGCGCACGTTCCCTTTTTGCTTTAGTTTCTGTGGTAATACACTTGTGAAAAAGATGTGTTCAAGTCGAATATGCAGAAAAATGTTTGTTCCTGCAGACCAATCCGGACAGAATTAACGGTCCATCGCTATCCCGCACATTGACCAAGACAACTTCAACTTCCAAGTTTTGAACTTTAAAGGTGCGACAACTTGCACTCTGAAGTTTGCAAAACCTTTTGTTAAAATTTTCAGGAGATTTATTCCGATGGTACTTCCTCGTGGAGAGAAGTCAACCAGTGCTAAAAGCTGTTTTTATATTACAGTAATCGGACAGTTATGCAAGCAGTATTTAACGGTTAAGGCTATTGTTTATGCGATGGTGAAACTTGTGCCTGAATTTTTTTGATAAACTCTTTAATTTTTTTTTAAGTTTTTACTCATTTAATGTGATAAATTTTTTTCGATCTGATAAATTTGATAAATTTAATTTGATAAATTTAATTTAATTTGATTTGATAAATTTGTTTGTTGAAAAAGATTTTGATAAATTAATTTTGATAAAAATTTTGATAAATTTTGATAAACATTTAATCTGACAAATTTGATAATTTTTTTGCAAATTCATTTAATTTTTTTTTTGTAAACTCGCTGGTGCATTTATTTTCAGTTTGTTCCTGTCCTGCAGTAAGTTGTTGCATAATTTAGCCTTACTTATTGTGTAATTAGTATATCTAGTAGTACATAATTGTTCGCAAATTTTGCTTGCTTTTTTCCCCGTGTATGCTGTGTATTCTGTTTTATTTATGAGCAGTATAATCATATCAACTGTGCCTGAATACCTGAAATATTTTTACCTCATTTTTTTCTGTTTAAAATGTACCAGTAACATCACTAACATGGGATACCCATACTGTTTGTTCGATGGGAGGGGGAGGGGGATCTCGGTATTTATAATTTCTCACATATGGTTGGGCCAATAGTCGAACCTTCCCGAACAAAGAAAGCTTTTTTTCTTAAAAAATGAAATCCAGTGAACCTGAATCCTGTGTATTACTGAACGAATTCCAACGTCATGTTGTGTTTGCGTAAATTTTTGAGATTACTTATCAAAAATCATGTATAAATCCAGTTGTCTGATGTGCTCTATCGATTGTTCTCGCTCTGGATGCGTTTTTGTGGAAGATTCCAGAAAGTGTTGTATCGGGGACGTGGCTCAGCTATTATTTATAGTCCGGTCCTATGCAACTATGCAACCGGTGGTAGTTAGCTGAATATTCGTTTCACCGCCTGAACGAATTACCAGCTGAGCGTTTTTTCAGATATTACATGGTGGTTAGAGGGCTGTTTTGATGAGTCCCGCTCCTGTCCGCACGTTATACTGTCTGTGTTTACAGCTAAGGGATGAAACACATGCAGACCATTTCCTGCATATTCCTTTCCAACCTTTCAACATGTCATACAGTTTTGTGCTACGTGAACAGTCCTAATATCTTCATCATAACTTTAACCTCTCCTGAGGTTAAAATTTTCGGACTGTGGCCGTTCCACATTTTCCATGCTTCGGGCCGTCCACTTGTTTTAAAGTCTACGGATCGGCCTACCAGCGGCCGCAAACTCTTTCAGCATCCTCATCTCACCCTTCGTTTTAACTTTCTGACTCTGGCCTTTCCACAAGATGGTTCCTTTGGACCGAGATTACGATTCGGCCTTGTGACGGCTGTACTTCATTATTACTACTTAGCAAATCTTTGAAATTTTCGAATGCCTTTTTGTTGTGTTTTGAACATAATCATAGAAAATGTTTTCGCCTATAGTTTTTTATGATTTTTGCATATTTTAGAAAGCAAATAAATGTTTTTCTTTCGATTTTTGTTTGAGAAAATTGGATTTGCTGAACTGCGATATTGAAGTATCATTGTGGTTTTTTTTTAAAGTTATCGTTGTGAACTAGCGCACCAATGGCTAACCCTTCTCCTGGACTTCTATGCCTCTAATTTGTTTTCCCTCATTTGTTGGAGGGAAAATTGAGTGTAGTTTTGTCTCCACCCATTTTTTCCCTCATCCCTCTCCTTCGTCTTCTTCTTCCCCCATACCCAGCATTCTTGGTCATTTGATGTATCGATTTTAAGCATATAATTTGAAGAATTGATTTATCTATTAACTGGATTTTTCAAGCGCCAATTGTCCAAAAATTTTCGGCGTCTAGGCTGTTTTCTCTAAATTTTTATGTATTTTCCAGGTATTTGATGTCCATTTGGGAGCATCGACCATTACTGGAATATATGAGCTCCCGTCCAGCTGAACAGCTCAACCAGCTCTACTCGTCACCAGCTGTAGCTTTTGCTCTTTTTCGATTTCTTCCAGAGCTTGCGCAAGAATTCTTCCTCAAAGCTCTGTGGCTAAAAGATGTCGGCAATAAATGGTATGTCTTTTTTTTTCTCCAAGAAAGAGAGAAATTTTTGTGCAAAATCTGCAGGAAATGCAAAAATTTTTGGAATTTTTCGAAGAACGGCAATAATTTGTAAATGAAACAGCCTGTAATTTTGAGGGACGGTGAATTCAACTATAGATAAAAACAAAAAAATTCAGCTAGTTGGGAAAAGAAGTTGGCAAAATGAGTACAAAAGTGAACTGAAAAACACGCAAATGCTAGAATTCAATTTTAATGTTTCAGAATTGGATTAATATTAATATTTTTATCATGCCTCTTTTACAAATTTATGGAAAATTATTTCAAATTTCACCTTGTACACATATAAACACCAAATCCATTGTTCTGACGAGGCCCAGTTGTGATACTGAACAGGAATGTGTGCGGCTTAACATGCCTTTTCATCGGATTATTTTAATATTTTTTTATATTTTATACATTTTTTATATTTTACGCATTTCTTGTATATTTTATATATATTTCACATATTTAATATATTTTTGTATTTTTTGCATATTTTTATATTTTATTTATTTTATGCCTGTCTTAACGTTTTTTTTACATTGCTAGTTTAACGGACGAACTTTTTTGGCACTATTCCTATCTGCGGTCTCTTTTTCAGAAGTACCAGTCGTGCATTCTATATTCATGTTGGACTTGGCAACTTGCCAAACGATATTTTTATCG